AGTGGTACAAAATCTTCTCTCATGGTGATAAGGAGTGGCAGACAGCCACCAATCCACCTCAGCCACATGGCTGTGAGGGAACATCCTAGATCTACTGCAGTATCATTGCCACGATTTTTGGGTGCAGGAATTCAGTCAATTACACTAGATAATCAACATTTTTTTCTTTCTTTTTAAAATAAAATAAGTTTGAGTTAGATGATTTTGTCCAACTATAGACTAATGAGATGTTCTGAGTACATTTAAGGCAAGTGGGGTGTCCTGTAGGTTAGGGGAATTACATGCACTGTTGACTTATGATGCTTTCCAATGTAAGTCAAGAAGTGTTTGGATTCTCCTTAGGCTGGAATGGGCATCAAGTGCAACCACAGCACTGAGAGGCATCTCGCTTGGGCAAAAGTAACAGGTGCTACACAAATACTAGACTGTGTTACCTGTGTCTACTAACAAGCGCCTCGTATTGGTGGCCTGGGTGGGGCACTCCTGCTGATTCTGCCTGGGCCTGCCTGCTTCTTTGGTTTTCCCAGGGTTTGGCTGCTATTGGTGGGCTAAGCTGGGCGGTCTTGCTTTTTACTGTGGTCAGGGTGACTCAAGCTCCCTGCGTGGAAGTCAGATCAGCTTTTTTCCATGTACCACTCCTCCTTCTGCACCAGTGGGCATGTGGTTCTAACGATGCTGGTAGAGGCACGGGGCATATGTGGGGACACTGTTACTTCCACATGGTTGGATACTGTGCTGTTCCCTATACTTATGTACATGAGACATTTACCATATTCTGGGGAGAAGCCCCAAACCAGTGCTTGACGGGAGTTGGTGGGTAACTCCGAGGCAAGCACTGGCTATAGTGCTTCCTGGAGCTCCTCAGGGAAATTAAACCCTGTTGTCCCCAGTGGCAATTTGTGTAATAACTCCTGTGACTGCCTTTGCTTTTAAACACCACTTCCCCTCTCCCCTTCTGGTGCTTCCTGGGGTCTCCATCCAAAGCCAAAGGAAGTGCAGTTGTGCCTCGGTATCCATGAAAGATTGGTGCTAGGTCTCCTCTATGCTGAAATCCACAGATGCTCCTGTCCCTTATGTAACCAGAGTAGCACCTGCCTATGAACTGTGCACAGCCCCTGTGTACTGTGCAGCATCTCTAGGTGACTTATAATACCTAATATAATGCAAATGCCATGTGGACAGCTGTTATACTGTATTGGATAGGGAGGAATGACAAGAAAGAGATCTCTGGGCATGTTCAGTCTGGACTAGTGGGCATAGAGCACTGACTGCACCTGTTTTTGAGTCCTGCTTTTATAGTCTTCCTAGGAAAACTTCCCTGACACCTAGTAGAAGGTCCCCTTGGGTTTATAGGCTTAACAGTCACTCCTTCACCTTTCTCGGAGAGAGCTGAGGAAGGTGTAGTCACACCCATGAAGACAAGCTCTACCCAGGGACTCCACGCTGGGCTAAGAGTTAACCTGCAGTCATCACTGGCCTGGGAGCCACACAGCAAGGAGATGCACCTTCATCAGTGCCCGCCTCACCTGCGGACATCTCCCGCACTCATGTTCTTCCCAACCTTTATCCACCATGTGTCCGGCCGTGCATCTTATCGTACATCTGTTTTTCCCTCTTCCCCCCAGGTCATGGGTGCTGTTGGGGGTAACACAGCAGTGCTCTGAACTGCAGTTATCCAGTCTGTTTGAAAAGGGAAGATAGGTCATGGAAGATCTGATTTGGACTTGGTCTAAAGTAGTCTCTTGGCCAACAATACTCATTTCATGGAAGTGGAAATGGTAAAATTTTAATTATTAGGAATGGTGAGTATTTCCTAGTGGGACTGGATCCTGCATATTAAATCTAGTTATAGAATTATAGAACAATAGAATAATAATACAAGTAGTTGTTATTATCCTTTGCTCTTAATGCTTAACAGACTCAATATAGTAGATTTGTTGAATTGCATTAACACTAATGACTTACATTTATATATTGATTTACACTTTGCAAAGGATTTTAATGCTTGGTTTAATGGAAAGAACACTGAACTATTGGCATGCTCTGCTCCCTGTCCTTTAACATGCAAAGTTACCAAGCTTTGAAAATAATTCTGTTTGGGGGAACATTTTGCCTGGTTTGATGAAGAAATTTTTCTGAAGAGCCTTGGGTGAAATCCTCATTTTTTCATGAAGAAGTCTTTCCTTTCTTTTCTCACCAACACAGAGTATTTCTATTCACTAATCGTTCAAGAGATTCTCAAGGCACCCAGTCCAGGGCAGATATTGCTGCACATATCATATCCTTGGTACCCTCCCTTCCCCATTGAGCTCCAGCTCCCTGCACCCATGACTTTTTGCCCAGAGATGTCCCTAAGCCTGGGTGGAGGAGGAAGGGCTGTTTGTGAGCATCCCCTGGGGCCAAGGCTCCCGCAGTGCCTGATGGAGTTGGAGTACAGATTCCTCAGCCTCCATGTACCTCATGCCAGACACCCACATCCTACACTAGATTTCCCAAGTGGGGTGCAGGTCCAGCTGTCCTTGGTGGCAATATTCTTACCCACATGGTGCCTATTGGCTTCCTCCCCTTCTCTGATTCCTTTCCTCTCTGTACCCCTGCTTCCTGGGGACACTTTCCAAATAAATAAACTCCAACTCAGAGTCTGCTGCTGAGGACCTCTGCAGAGTACCTTTCCCTGGAAGGGCCCTTGGTGGCTCTCCACAGCTGAGCCATTATGCCACTTATGCAAAGGTGACACTACCTACAGGATCCACTGAGCTAAATCCTCAGCTCTGATGGGAGAATTTACATTTAAAAATGTATATTTCCAGTTCTTTTAGCTCTCCCAAGTGGGTTATAGGGCCAATGTCATGCCAATGTTGTAGCCTACGCCTAGTGAGGAGGCCACTGGAAATATCCCAAGCCTCCAGAAATTGGGGCGTGGAATGTTTAAATAAATTACAGCATGAGGTAATGCTGTAGAGCCCTTAAAATCATGCTTGGGAGAATATTTAATAGTATAAAATATTCCCAACATACATATCAAGCAGATGAGTGAACATTCTATGCAATGAGTTGAATTTCATTTAAAACATACACATAGAAATCGAAGTCCAGAATATGAAGAATAGTAGTATTATGGCTAATTTTTAATTTGCTTTATGCTTTTCCAAAATTTCTACTGAGAGCATGTACTTGTTTTTTAATTAGGGAAAATGTTTTTGGAAAAGAAATAAAGGAAAGAAGAGCTGACTGCCCAGAGCCCATCCTGGTGTGGTTCTGACGCCTTTGAGGTGAGCTGGCCCTCTGTGAGACCACCTCGGTTCCCAGTCTCAGAAGAGGGTTTTGGCCAGAAGATCTCACTGTCACCAGTGCTGCCCCTGCAGGTCCACAGTGCCCTGGGAGAGTTCTTGTAGGCGATTCGGCCTGCCCAACCCTGCTCCTGCTCAAAGTTGCAGGACTGGAGAGTGAGCTTTGTTGTGAGCCGCATCTCCAGCCCTTTTTATGTTTTATTTGGAAGCAGGGTCTCATTAAGTTGCTAAATCACCCATGCTGGGCTCCAACTTGTGATCCCACGAGTCAGCTGGAGTGCTGGGGCTACAGCAACACACACCGTGCCTGGCTGGGGTCTCTGTTGAACCTGACAACTGGCATTAGGAGGCATGAAACTGCTAGAAACTCCTGGGCTGGGAGCGGGGAAGGGCAGGGTGTGGAGGTCAGTCTCAGTGTCCTCGGCCTTCTGAGTCTGGGCTGTGGGTGTGGGAGGGAAGCCACCGCACCTTGGAACAACTAACTCACTTGGGAAGCAGCAGACTCTTGTGTGGCTACTGCGGGAGGCACCGGGTCCAGGGATTGTGGCAGTCTCGGGAAGCACCAGTGCTCTGTGCGGAAGGCAGCCCTCCCTCCCGGGCTAGCTGATCCGCTCTGCTGCTCCATGTCCCTTCCCTGCCTCTGCGGGACTGCAGAGCCTTGGAACACAGTTTGTTCTGAACCTCCCACTCTAGAGACATCTCAGACCCCCACCCTGTGATGTAGGAGACTGCAGAACAGGGGAGGCACTAGTAGGGCCGTGGTCAGGAGGATGTGCAGACAGCCACGCAAGCCGACCACGGCGCCACACATTGTGGCGGTAGGGTGGATGACCAGGAGGACAGGCAGTCACGGGGATCCAGGGGGAAGAAAGGCCTAGAGGGGCCAGGTGTGCAAATCCCAAGCAGGGTCTTACTGTATTCTTTCTGAGATCAGATTATCATCCCTGGGAACACAGAAGGGGTTCAGCGGCTGTCTTTTCTCTCAGAGGCTGTAATGATTGAACGGCGCAAATGATTCATTTTGTGTTTTTTAACACTGGAATGATTCTCAGCTCAATTTGAAGATTTGCAGATTTATAAGACATACAGCCAGCACAAAACCATCACCCTGCTTCCTGAAGCTGGCAAGGACACAAGGAGACCCACTTTTGCAAAGGACCCAGAAGGTGTGTGGTCAATGTGACGTGAGCACAACCAACAGAAACAAGCAAATGACAGAGCTCCTAACTGTCACACAGCAGGGGTTGCATGGTGTGTTGCTGCAGGGTTTGACTTTTGGATTTGGTTTTGTCCCACTGGAACCCACATGACCCACTTCTCCCATCCATGCAACTGGGGTTGACCTGCACCTGCCAGCTGTCTTCTCTGCCCCTCCCGGCACTGATTTTTCTTGACACTCAGTTCTTTCAAACTTGCAGTATCTTTGGCCTCGTCTCAGGAAACCTTGGCCTTGATCTTTGCCTTTGGCCTAATACCAAAATAGGCTGTGTGTGTGTGTGTGTGTGTGTGTGTGTGTGTGTGAATGTGTATGCAGGCTTCTGCGTGCACATACCTATGTCTGATGGTACACACATGCATGTGTTCCATGAGTGTGTGACTATATTTGCTCATGGGGTTGCATGTGTGTGTACTCAAGTGTGTTCCTAGTAGCCTGTGTATCAGGACACTGTAAAGCATCTGCTCTCCATGCTGAAGCCCGCTCCTACTTACATAGTTGGAGGCCAGGTCCGGGTGGAGATAGTCAATCCCTGTGAAGAGACCACAACACAGAAACCGCAGGTTAATACCTGCCACTGCATCCTTAGGAAATCTGGTCCAGGAGCCTCTGTGTGGGGCTGGTGCCTGGAGCCGTGTCTCAGGGGTGAGGAGCAGGCATTGCCCTTGTGGGCGGGCTGGCTGCAGGTGGGAGCAGAAACAGCCACCTTCACACCCTGGAGAGGAGCCAGGCCAATTAGAGCTTGGGCCCCAGGAAGACACTGGCATAGCTGTCAGTGCAAGGGGGCTTAGTGACTGTGAGACGGATAGCTCACCAAGGCAGGGATCTAAAAGAGATTTGTAAAAATGCTGACATTTCTAAAGCACCAGCTGGCATTTCTTCGGAAACGAAGCCAGCCCTGGGGAGAAAGAGTGATGATTATTTAACAGGACCAGGCATCGATGCATTAGGCGAGCATGCTCTCCACTGAAATAAGAGGGACACAGCAGGGCAAGGAGAGCCATTAACAAAAGGCAAATGGTTTCCAGCAAGGAGTCCCACACATGATGCACCTCTCTCCAGGATGTGGCTTTCCAGGGAGCGGAGACTTCAAGTCCCTCCTCAGGACTCTGGGGCTTTCTTTCCAATATGGGTCTGTCTCACTGCCTAGGGGTCATTCCTGGGGTAGAATTAGGCTTGGAGCACTGCAGGATCCTATCAGATGTCAGTGTGCAACATCAGGGCCACTGGAAATCTCTCATCTGGGTCTGCGAAACCTTGTAATCTTCACAGCAGTCACATCTGAGCATCCAGCCCTCAGAGAGATGGAGGGGCAGCGAAGGTACCTGAAGACGCCTAGCATAGCAATCAACGGTTGGGAGCAGGTATTTGGAGCCAGAGACCAGTGTTTAACTCCAGGCTACTCTGATAACTAGCAGCAGGACCTCAGGCAGGCTGCTTGACTTTTTTTGTGCTTGCTTTTTATTCAAACTATTGGAGGTGAGAAGAGGGCAGGGGTTAAAGGAACTAATGCATGTGTGTGCTGAGCCCAGCAGCTGCTGCATTTAATAACTGTACTGAGACACAACACTTAGGCTCTGAAAATATCATTAAGTGCCTCCCATAGCCTGTGTCTTTGCTGCATACACTAAGCCTCTGCCACTATTATGGCTTTGCCCTAGAAAAAGGAAGCTCTCTTAGGAGGTATTATTAAGAAGAGGAAAATCTCTTTTGTTTCTTTCTGGGAACACAGATGTGTTCTGGAGTGGGAGCCACAGAAGGAGAGTATCTGAGAGTCATTTCCCACCTGCAGCCGGGTAGTCTGCTCTTTCCATTCCCTTCCCAGCTCTGAAGAAGGGAAGGAGTCAGAAGCTTTAAACACTAATGGTTTTAAGCCTTCCAGGGTGGTGCACACCCGTAATTCAGCATCTTGAGAAGCTGAAGCTGGAGGATTACAAGTTCAAGCTCCGCCTGGAAAATCTGGCATTTTAGAGAGACTCAGTCTCAAGATTAAAAAGAAATCAAAAATGGCAAAAGGGCTGTAATGTGGCTTAGTGTAAAGGCCCTGGGTTCAACCCTTAATACCACTAAAAACACAACTCATGATTTTCAATGTTGTCAATTCTCATTCTCACCCTGATTCACAGTTGGCCAGTTTAGGATGTGGGTGGAATTAGGAATGAGCACAATTGTGGGTACACCTGACCCAGTTCCATTGGAGTTTGGGCCCTGTCAACACTGCACAGGTTCTCTGAACCTTGGTTTCCTCAGCTCTGAAGTGGGACCATAGCTCACCAGGCTAGGTGGTTTTCAGAGTCAGAGACAATTCACTGAGGGCTCAGCTTGTGGAAAATCCTTCACATGTTTTATCCCTTGTCATCATTGGTGCCACCATCAACAGAGTAATGAGATAAAGTGGGGGCAAACACAGCTTTAAAAATCTACTTGGTCTTAGAATGTAGTGTTGAGATTAAATTACATCTTTGTTAAAATTGCTTAAGTTCATTGGAGAATTTTCTTAAGCAGATAGGTAGGCTTAAAGAAAGACTCACAGATATACACGATACTTTTTAATAGGAAGTCATTTTTTAAACATGACTTCCTGTTCCGAGGGTGGAATTTAGGAGAAAAGTGTTCTGAGAATTACTAATCTCTTCTCTGTGGAAGGAAAATATTGGAGGAAGGAGATAATTTGAGATCTGAAGAAAATTAGACTTACAAGATAAATTTAGCTTAATTAAAATAAGTTCTTTAATTAGGTTAAAGGGAACACTAAGTGTTACATTAGAATGAATAGAGACTTGGGTCTGAGAAAATATATTTAGAACTGTGAAGAATGATAGACATGATTCAGAAAAGTAATAATGAAGTAAAGAATGAAAATAATAATTTGATAACCAGATAGAATTTTAATGTTCTGGTGTATTTGATTTCTTTTAAGGTGAAATATACTGAACTCATTTCTTAATTAGCTTCTTTATTTTTTAATTCTTACATTATTATTGTACTCTCATTTTTCAACAGTAAATGCCTGGCATATCGCAGATGCTAGAAAGATAGGCAGTTTTAGCCAGTCCTGTGCTGTACAATTACCTGTAGTCACACTGTGACACCACAGCTCAGCTCACCTGAGTTGTGATGGGCCAGTCATGAGGAATGTGGCACACCCACAAGTGACAAATGCTGGGCTACCTTTTTTTTTTTTTTGGCGGAACCGGGGATTGAACTCAGGCCCTTGCGCTTGCCAGGGAAGCGCTTATTCCACTGAGCCATCTCCCCAGCCCCTTGGGCTACCTTTTTGCTCATAAGCCATTGATATCCTGCTATCAATTTGAATGTTTTCAGAAGTCTAATCCACATTACTCCAAATTCTCGGGAAGCTCTGATAGTTTGTCAAACATCAGAGAAGAAACAAGGAGCTCCTTTCTATATTCTGACTCAGGATGTTAACAGTTGAAATATGTGACAGTGCAGGATAGGCCCTGGCTCAGTTCCTTCTACTTTCTCAAGAGAGCTGCCCCTGTGGGCCCCCATCCACCCTACTGAATTACGTCTTGCTGAGGAATGGGCCTGATGCACATATTGTGTGTGCAAAGATGGCTCCCCTGAATTGCTTGTTCCATCTCTTCTACAGGGTGACACAGCCATGCTTCTCCTGGACATCTGGGTGCATGGCCTCTTCTTCCATCTCAGTGGTCTTGTAATTGTGTCAGTCAGTAGAAGCAGAGGACATGGCTACAGGACTTTCAGGGCTCATCCAGGAGAGGCCAGTCATCTTCCATCAGTCCCTTTAGATGCTCACTTTGGGGGGAAAGCGGATGGCTGTGTAAGAAGCCCATGTGCAATGCAGTGAATTTGTAAGATTTTATCTCAGGCTCTGTTCTGAGTATAGGCTTAACTTTCTCCTACCAGAAGCAGGGCTTTGTGATTCTTGCTGTAATTTCCAACTCTGTCTCCTTCCATCTTCTCAGCCTGGTCAGTCTAATATCTGCCATATATAGCTGCCTCCTGGTGGCCTCTTGTTATGGGACATTTGGCTGCCATCTGCTTGACCTGCCCCACTGGCTGCTATGCCCTCTATGGGAGGATTGGGCAGATAAGCTGCAGTGACCACTGCTAGTCACCATGTGACTCCGTGACACTCAAGCTCCTTGTTTCTAAGCCCATGCCCTGCAGCTCCCTGTGGGCTATCAGCTAGGTGCTGCTCTAGACCTGACAGAGGCCTTGGCTCCCAGGTCCCTTGCTTCCTGTCCACTGGCTCAGTATGCACGTTGCCAATGGTCCCTTTATTTCTGGCCCTATGAACTGCGCAAGTCTCTTTTCTCTGGATCTGTGTATAATAAACTGAACTCATTATCTCATGTGCTTTTGTTGAATTGCCTCTTTTGTGTCTTCCCTGACCAACACACCCGCTCTAACTTCTTCCTCCTTTCTCAGTCAGGGCTCTCCCAGAGAGTGGCTATCTTGGTGACAATAAATGAGGCACAGGTCAGACAAGCCAGGCCAGGTGCCAGTATAAACAGGCTTCCTGTGGGACAGTCAGCTGCTCACACATTAAGCATTAGGCTGCTCCCTAGGATAAAGAGAAGGGTCTTGTGAAAGGCACCACTTTGGTCTAAAGGTTGGTGTCCATCCAAAATTCATTTTGAAACTTAATTCTCAGTGTAATAGTATGAGATGGGGCCATTAGATGAGTAGGTCTTGAGGGGATGCTCAAGGGTGTAATTAATGATCTCTGAAAAGAGGCTAAAGAAAGTGCCTTCATTCTTTTTGCCTGTTTGTCTTTCAGCCATGTGAGGACACAACAAGGAAGTATTTGGAGGTAAAAGTTACAAAAAGCCAACATGGCTCTGAAGGGAACACAAAGAGTGAGGCTGGTGAGGGTCCAGCAGGAAAGAACTAGATGGGGAGCCCTGATCTTCTTCAACTCTCTAGGTGTTGTAATGAGAGTGTTTGTAGAAAATGGGTAATAGAGGCAATTCTGAAGAGGTCTTAGATGGAATGAAGAATCAGGTACTGGGGACTGGAGGAACAGAGTCTTTGCTATAGAGGGGCAGAAGTCTGGTGGGACTGAGTCCCTGGTCTAGTGATTTAGAGAAGGCAGAACTCGAGTGTGATGAGCTAGGACATCTGGCAGAAGAACTCTCCTAGCAAAGAGTCAGGGCTGTGGCTCAGGTTCTCCTGATTGTGTACGGTAAAATGTGGAATTTATGATTAAAAATGAAACAGGACTTGTAGAACTGGAGAAGCCTCAGCCTGGCCTGGTTGTGTGGAATGAGAATATGTGCTCAGGAGAGGGCAGCAGGGGTGTGACCAAGTGGATGCTCAATAGGGACTCTCGTGTGGTTGGAAGGAAGCACAATGACATGCATCAGGACCAGAGGCGAATGAGCTCAGAGCTATTTCTGAGATCTCCCTGACTGCCTTACTCAGCAGGGGCACAGAGTGCCCAGGCCTTGAAGAAAGAATGGCTTCAAAAGAGAGCCCGGGGTACCTGTGTGATCTCAAGCCTCACTGCTCAGCACAACCTCAAGTTTATGCCTCATGCATTTGGGGACCGCACTCCTTGGCTGCTAAGTTGTGGCTCAAGCAGGCCACAGTTTGACTCAGGCTCTCCACAGAAGGTTTGGCAGCTTTATGCCACCTTGGTGGCATCTATGCAGTGCTAACTCCACGGGGTGCAGAAGCCGGGCTATCCCTACCTAGATTATAAAGGATGTCTCAGAGAGCCTCAAGGCCCATGCAGACAACCACAGGGATGCAGTTATGGTAGAGAACTGTATGAGGGCCAGGTCCTGCAAAGCTAGAAGACAGACTGCTCTCCAGACCTCAGAAGGACAGAGAGGCCAACATGTGACTCTGGGCACAGGACTCCAAGCCATAGGAGCAGCTGCATGGGCTGGGTCCTAGAAAGCCATGAGGCAGGGTTGGAGGGAGACTCAGGTCCACATGACCCCACTTCAGTGAGTTCAGAAGGTAGGTCAAGGAGTAAATGGCTATCCTCAAGCCTGAAGCTTTCTTGTTTGCTCTTTTGGATTTTGGACTTAGTTGGGACCCATGACCCCTTGTTTATTTTCTCTTTTTTGTCTTCCTTTTGGAATGAGAATGTCTGTCCTATTCCACTCTCACCACTGAATTAGAACTTGATTTTACAGACTCATGGCTGGAGAGCAATTTGCCTTGGGATGACTTGTACCCAGGGATTCACCCATACTTGATTTACATATTATCTGGATGAGACTCTGGGCTTGAGATCTTTAATTGGTGGTGCTGCAACAAGTTAAAGTTTTAGAGCTGCTGAATAAGGATATGAATTTGGAGGGCCAGGGGTGGAAGGCTATGGTTTGAGGGTCTACATCCTCCCCACATTCATGGTGAAACTTAATCTCCATGGAAAAGGGGCATGGAGATAGAGCTTTTAGGGGTGATTCAGCATTGAGGGCCAAACCCTCATGGATGGGACTGGCATCCTTATAAAGGAGCAAGCTCTTTCCTGTTCTGGTCCTATGCTCATCCGCTATGGAGGAGCTGAAGATGAGGAGCCATTGTGAAAGCAGAGAAGGGGCCCTCACCAGACACTAATCTGCTGATTCCTCACTTTGGGACTTGCCAGCTTCCAGCTCAAATGTTTATGATCTACAAATTACTCAGTCTAAGGTGTTTTGTAATAGTAGTAGGAACGCCCTGAGATAGGGACATTGTAAACATCGAAGCCATTTCCCTAGAAGTCCTGTCAATGCAATCTAGAATTTATAGCCACTCTTTTGAGAGAAGCCTAAGGCCACAGGAGAGGAAATTACAATGTAGTCACTCATTCTGACGCTTCCTGTGGGGCTTCCCTGGTAGCCAGTGTCAGCCACTAGCTATGCAGTGCACTATCTCGGTGTCTGGCCTCTCTCTGCCATGAGGCAGGATCTGTTAAGCTTCCCCTAGAGTTCTGGACTGAGGATGCTGGAACCCCATCCAGCAGAAATGGCAGGGATGCTGCCCCTGCAGGTCCAGCCTCGGCGAGAATTGGAGCCCTCACTTTTCTCTAGGAACCCCTACTCTTGGGAGTCCTGAGGCCTCTGTCCAAAATCCAACCAGTTTTCTGGGAAGGAGAGATCCCAGAGAACAAGAAAGTCTCACCCTTCAGTGGACTCTAGCCCCACCTGTCTCTGACTCCAAGTGCCTGAGAGACCCCAGGGAGACAGCAGCAGAACTCTAGCATTCCACAGAATGCTAGATAAGATCATAACACAGTAAGATAATAACATTTTCCTTCTTTCTTTTTTAAATTCAATTTTGGGGAGGTTGATTTTGTAGCAGTAGATGATGAAAACAATGGAGATGTCAGGAGTTTTAGTTGGGGGATGGGCAGAGGGTTCATCTTTTGGGGATTGCAAAGGCCATGATTTGCAGAAGAAATATCAAACAAGAAATACCATTGGGACTTTCTAAAGCATTTGGTCTATTAGCATGGAAGAGTCAGGAGTGATTTTCTGAAGCATCAAGGAAGGGATACAGTTAAGAACTTGGAAATGGACAGATACAGTTCTGCTGGAGGCTTCATAAGAGCAATGTACATGTGTTGTCACTATAGTGTCATTTAGGGTGAGCTATCTGATGGCTTGAGGACACCCACTAGAGAGTTGTTGGAATTGGTCATCAAATCTAGATACCTTTTTCTTGTGTGAGCTGGCCTCAACTGATTTGGAAAGGTTTCCCAGCCAGTGTGTCAGGAGAAGGCACTCACAGGCTGCAGATGTCTGGCCATGCACAATTTTGTGCAGAGATCCTTTGTTTCTGTGAGCCCTCAGCCACAGGAGGACTCTTTTGCATCTGCTTCAAAACATCACATGGGTCAGCAACACACCAAGGCTTTGTTTGGGTGTTGCTCTTCAATGGCCCCAAGCAAAGGTAGCACAGACTTTTAAGCATGCTGGCTTCCCTGTTCCCTCTGTCAGCACAGCTTCAAAGCCTTGCTGTGGACAACACAGTGTGCTCTGAGGATCTTCAGAAAGGCTGGACTCCATTATTGCATCTTTGCACAGCATTTGCATGTAATTAGATCCATGATGCACAGTGGTGCTTTCACCTGGGGGTCAAGAGGCTTAGGAGGGACAGAGGCTCAGCCCCATGAAATGACCACAGGTTGATGGTGACTCTACAGGATCTGGCCAGAGGCAATGACACGTGCAAATGGAAAAAACCAATTCATCAAAGTCGTTCCATAGAAACTCAAGTCTTAAAACTATAGAAAATAAAGCTCCATGAAATCTCTGGCAGGCACACAGCATCTATAGAATAATACAGAGGCTGTATCTATAACAAAAGGTTACCAAAGGCTGCTTTATAAGGGTCATTCTAAAAGTAGCATTAAAGCCAAATATCCCCAAACCCTGACCCTGTTACTCAAAAGCTATTTCATGGATCTAGAGCCACACTGTTTGATAGAACTTTCTATGATGATTGAAATGGAATTGGGCTGAATTTCAGCAGTTTAAATAGCCCATGTGGCCATAAGAAGTTGAAACGACAGGCCAGGGTTGTGGCTCCACAGTAGACAGCCTGCCTAGCATCAGCAAGGCCTTGGGTTTGATCTCTACTACCACATAAAACAAAACCAAACGATTTGAAATGAAGCAGATGTGATTGAAGAATTGAACTTTTTTACTTTCCTTAGCTTTAATTCATTAAAACGTAAGCTACCATCTATAGCTAGTGGCTGCTGCATCACACAGCATGGTTCTTGGTAAATAGATGGTAAATATAAACAGATTTAGAACACTGCTAAAGATAAAATATAACTTGTGGCTCAATAAGAAATTAAGGTTGACTAACAGGCAGTTGCTATTTGTTTAATTTCTTATTTGTTCATTCAAAAATATTTGTTAATGTCATTGCCAAGTGTAGTGGCCATTGATCTGGAGGAAGGGGAGGGTTTGGGCACGGTGCAGCATGATCACCAGGCCTAGAATCAGAGATGCTTATTGTGTCTCTGATGAACATCTCTGAAGCAGTGACTCTCCTAATCAGAAGGCATGCAAGGACACACTTGCTTCCAAATGGTGCAAAGAGTTTGAAATACTCACCATCATCCATGATCCCAATGGTTACCCCTTTCCCGGTGTAGCCCAGCTCCCAGGCCTCTGCTACATTCAAGTCAAGGCCAGGTGTGCCATCAGCCTGCCCAGTGTTGATCTGGTATAGAAAAGTCAAAGCAGAGAATCTGATTGGTTTGGTGAAGTGAAGCATATGTGTAGATGTTTGTTGTGTTCAGCAGCTACCTGGTGTCTGAGGGCCAGCAAAGCACCAAATTTCCATGAAATAGCACTCTGAGGTCTCTTCACTTCCTTATAGTTTTTTTTTCTCTCTATTTTTTTCACACAAGCAGTTGATGCCTTAAGTTTTATGTAAGTATACAAAAGCAGCTGCAATCACCTCATTTCTGTAGCTAGATGGTTATGTTTAGCCTCATTCTATATGAAATCCTAGAGCTGCCACTGCTGAGAGATCCTCCCTGATTCAGAATCAAAAGTATGCTCTCAGGGCTTCTTGGTTATATAATCATGTTTTGAATTTAGCATGTATTGTCTTGGGTTATCCTTATTAAATATTTTTTCAGTCTTAATAGTGTCATTTCTTTCTTTCTTTCTTCTTTCTTTCTTTCTTTCTTTCTTTCTTTCTTTCTTTCTTTCTTTCTTCTTTCTTTCTTTCTTTCTTTCTTTCTTTTTTTTTTTTTTTGTATTTTAGGGAAAGGTCTACAGAGTATTCAGGGTCTCACTACTAGATTGGACTTGTAGTGATCTGCCTGTTTACAGCCTTCCAAGAGCTGGGGTTATAGGCGTGCACCACCATGCCCTCTCAGCGCGCCCTGGGGGCGGGGCCAGCACCACAGGCCCAGGATCGAACTCCTGGCCCCTGTGCCTGCTTGCAGGCGCTTTAACTCACTGAGCTAGTTGGCTGGCCCAACAGTGTCATTTCTAAGAGGAAGCTCTTTTAGTATCAACATAGTAAGTTTTGCTCAAAAATATTTGTTGAACTGAATTCAAAAAGTGCCCCCCACCTTTCATACAAGTTCTAATGCTGAAAAACGAAGCCCCTAGCCCCCTTGAGAAAGAAAAGGGAAGACAAAAAATCACATTATTATGCTTATTCTTCTCTTTGCACATATCTTCTTTTGTGCAGATTTTCTCAAAGACAGTTTGTAAAATAAATAGTAAAGTCAGAGCTTTAAGCCACACAGTGGTCGGTGGCTATTGTATGAGTGTCATTTGCGCTTTTCATAAAAATTAATGCTCTTTGTTTGTCATACTCAGGTTATGGCTATCTGTCTCCATCTCCCTTGAAGTAAGAATGGACATGTGAATAGTTTTGGTCAGTGGCAGGGGAGCTCATGAGCCATTTGTCACATCCACAAAGAAGCTTTAAAAAAGCCAGGATCCAATCTGCCACTTTTCCTCACTAAGGTGATTGCAAAAGAAGTTGAGATTGAGATGGAGCTTGGTGAGCCTGAGTCCTTGAAGAATTATGAATCTTTGATCATGTAGCAAATCACTGTGATTTGTAGACTGTTACTGCAGCAAACCTAGCAGATCCTGTTTAGTGAACATAAACTCATTCGGTTATCCACGTTGGATTTTGAGAATTCCATGTCAAGAAAGCATGACCAGGCTTGAGTGATAGCTTGGTGGTCTAAGGGCCTGCCTGGGAAGCACAGGGACTAGTTTAATTCCCCGGCACCACATGCCTTGCTGGCTCCACCCCCTGGGTCCAGCTAGCTGGGCCACTGAAACCAGGCATGCTGGCGCACTCCTATAATCCCAGAACAGGGGAGGCTGAAACAGGACGATCACTATGAGTCTCAGTTGTATAGTGAGACCCTGTACTAAATAAATAAATTAATAAAAAGTTAAAAAAAAGCATGAGGCATAGTCTAAGCTCTGAAGCTCCAGGAGCAAAACTACAATGCATCCTTAGCAGTCTACACGGCTGTGACTTAGTTTTCTCTGTTGGTCATCAGCTTTTAATCTTAAATAAAATGAAGCTTCATTTTCATGTATAAGTTAGTCACTGTCCCCCACAGTACGCCCTACAGTTCAGGTTCACAGGGATTCCCTGATCTTCTTTTAAACAAAACCCAAGTAATCCACAAGGATCAAGAGGGACTGCTGGAAAGAAAATACTGTTGTCACCAGACAGACTGGTGTCAGAGTCCGAAGTCCTGTATTGATTCAGTCTAAGGCAATTGATTTCTTGCCACTGCAAGAAGCACTAAGATGCTACTTTCGCTACTCTAGACCCTGAGTGCTCTTGCTTGACCCTTGTGCAGCCACCAGATTCTTTTCCTTGAGCCTGTGATCTTACTGCCCTTTGATTACGTGTTAAGGATCCCGGATTACTCCTCCAGGACCTTTGATTTGACTTTGATGTGTTTTTTCAAGCCTTCACTCATATTTGGGTAAGATGTTGTAGAGTTTAGTGAACTGTGACCTGCCATAGGTAGTAGCTTTGACCCTAGGAGGTCATGGCTATATAGCAATTGCAGAAGAAAGGAGATTAGGGGAGAAGGTGACAAAAAGTCCTTGCACATTGGCCGGCACGGAGAGGCTCCTGTAGACAGATGCTGGCTAAGAGCCCCCCGCTTAAGGAGGAAACAGGAATGCATCTTTTTACAAAGGGTTGGGGCATGAGAAATGTCAGAAGTATCAGCTGCTTACCAGGTACCACTGCTTTGTAAACAGAGGATCATTCATGTTGATGTCAATCTCATTGATGTCTCTGTACCCTCGCTTCTTTCGGTCAAACCCCTCCTGTTGCAAGGCCATCTTTACCTGCAATGACAGGGTTGGTCAATGATCAAGTAATACCCCGAACATCCCTCTTTGGAAGATCATTCTCATAAGTTCAGATTTTATTGGTTAAATAATGCATTTTTCTTTCACTACGAGCAAGTTGATCTCATGCAGACTCTCACTTTGTGATTATTTTACAAGTGTTACTATGTACAATCTAGACACATTGATGGCTCAAAGTGAGTTTTCTTAAAATAAAAATAACATGGTGGAGGTCATTAAGTGAAATAAAAGAAAACGATGGAAAATTTCTATGAGGGAAAAGGAATAGGGAGTGGATTCAGGGAGTGGGAGAATGAAAATTTCTAGAGGGTTTCTCCAAACCCTCACATTTGTTGACAGTCCTGTCATTACATTTTGGAATCAGTGAAAACCAAACCAAACCAAGACAAAACAACACAGCACAAAACAAAACCTCACAACAAAACCCAAACCAAAAAACTGCCAACAAAAAGCCACACCTACTGTAAAGTCCGAAAATCCCATAACAAAGCTCTAGAAGGTGAAGGAGAGACATTTCGAAGAAAATTGGTGGATACCGCTGCTGCCCCTGAACTGATCACATTTCATGTCTGGACACTGAGACTGAACCTCAAGGTGTCAGATGGAAATAAAATTCAGGAAGCTGAGTTAGCACAAGTTGGCTCCTGGTTGTGGCAGGCTTTGTTCCAACCAGAGACTCGCTTTCACTTGGCCATTCACTACTCTATCCCCCAGCAGCAGGGGCCAATCTGAATGTGAAGAACTCAATGTCTGGGAGTGTGGACACAAGAGTATGTGATGGATATTTATTATGATTATTACTGTGTTTGTGGTGCAACACTCATTTTTCTTTTTCCCAATTCTGTGTCTGGAAGGAGTTTCCTTGATTCCACTGGGTTTTGTGCTCTTGGGAGTAGAATTCTGGGTGTTCCTTGCAACAAACACTGGGACCTTCCTGGCCCTCAGGATGTAATGGTCTTGGCAACATGGAGCTTTAAAAGTTATCTTTTTTTTTTCCCACTAGAGCTCCAACTTTATTAGGCCAGTGGATACTCACCACCCACTCTTCTCCTCAGCCCAGGTGATGGACAGAATATGCAGATAGGGGCATGAGAACTTTAAAGTTCAGTTTTTATAATTTTTACAAGGCATGGAGGAAGTGGAAGATCGCAGAGAGAGAGACAAAGCAAGCCTGTATATTGTCTTGTTGGATTCTTTCTCTTCTGTCTTTACCATAAAAGGCCCTTGCACACCTACCCTAGGTGAGATGGTGATTTGTGGCAATATAAGGCATCGCCATCTTGGGCAGAGCTTGGAATAAAACCTTTCTCCTACCAAAAGATAAAGGGCCTCATGTTCTTTGTGGAGCAGCGAGCATTGGGAACTGTGTGACTGGGAATGGTTTAGCCCGTGGCCCTGAGCATCTGGGACAAAGGTGCCTCCACAGTTACCTCACAATCAAGATTTGAATTCCACAAAAGCAACACAAGGGAATAGAACCCTGGGCCTCTTCACTCCCTGTGCCATCCCTGTGGAGAATCCTGGCCGGAGTTCCTGCAGCCCTGCTGAGAGCAAGACTAACCCTTCCACCCCTACTGATGCACCCTGACTTTCCCCTCCCAACTTCTCAGGATCAGCAGAATCTATTTCTGTTGCACACAATCAGGAACTCTGACAGACGCAGGGTAGGAGGAGGGTGGTAAGGGCAGAGGTAAGAGTGATGGTGGGGAGGGAAGAGTGAAGAGACCCAGATGCTGTGGGTACCTGTGCTCCTTTGATGGCCTGGACCATGGAGCACCCTGAGGAGATGAAACCAGCTCCCAGTTCTGTATTCTACACACCCATCCAGGAGGGCCGGGTTCACTTGCCAGTAATATTCTAACTACCAGGAATCCTATCACTTAGGAAAGAAGGGTCAGGTAGGTGTGCATTCTTGGAGGTATTTCAAACAGAAACATTGTTAAAAATACCTTCCCCCCAAAAAAAATAGCAAAATTATTGCAAAAATGAGATAGGTGGATACTTTTAAAATGGCCATGGGCTGGAGAGATGGCTCAGTGGTCTAAAGCACCTACTT